ATAAATAAAGTTGATTTTTTTTTTTTTTTTTTGGTGGTGGTACTAGTGATTGAACCCAGGGCCTTTGTACTGAGCTGCATTGCTAGCCCTTTTTTATTTTTTATTTTGAGACAAAGTCTCACTAGGTCATTTAAATTGTCCTGGCTGGCCTCATACTTGTGATCTTCTTGCCTCAGCTTTCCAGAATGCTCGGAATTACAGGCATGCATGACCAAGCCCAGCTGAGTTTGATCCTTTTGATGCTAAATTTTAATCTACTAGGGTAGGTCTGGGTGAGCTTTTCTCTAGGAATAGTTTATCCCTACTACTAAGGCATAACATTTCTGGGTCTTGGGGCTGGGGATTTAGCTCAGTGGTGCTGCCACCTGCCTCACGAGCTCAAGGTCCTGATTTTGATCCTTGGTACCGAAACAAAAACAAACAAAAAACAAAAAATTTCTGGATCTCTCTTGAATATATCGAGTGAACAGCAAAGACTCTCTACTCTAGCAGATTGAAGCTTTAATGTCTCTGCCCGCTGAGGTCTGCAGTCATTGGTGTACTGCTCCTGTGATGTAGTCTTGTTTGCTATACACTCATGATGTTTAGCATTCAGCAAAGACTCAAAGGGACTTCCATTCCTTTGAGCAGAGAGGGTTAGGATGGGGTGTACGAGTGAAAAAAGATCAGAGTTCTTTCTTTGCAAGGCTCATTCCTTTCCAGAACTCTGACTTGCAACTTGCAGCTACCTCAACCGCCCTGGGTCCTATCTCTGTCTCCTTACCTCAGCAAGACCACCGGGCTCTGCCGAGTATTCCCCTCTCTGAACTGCAGTCTGGAATGTAATCTCAGGCAAAAATCCCTTACTTCCCCTGTTTGTTTCCCTTACTTCAGAGATCTCAGTCTTTTATTTCCTGTGGCCTCATTCTGAAAACAATTATTTCAGATATTTTGAAGCAGTAGTTATCTCATTATGTCTGGTGGCAGCATAATTTCTGTTATCATGATGTTTAGAATAGAAGCTTTTTTCAGGCATTTTAATCAAGTTTTGGGGAGAAGAGAAGTTATATGCATGTGGTCAGTTCACTGTATTTTTAAGCAGAAGTCCTAGACTCCTGAGATATATTTACATATGTATGTTTGACAAACACATGTTTTTATCACAACAAAAATCTCATGCGGAGTAATCATGTTATTCACAAAATAATAAAATATATATAAAATGTTAGTGCATAGGGATGTGGCTTTGCAGTTGTACCATGAACATTTTCTTTCACTACCAGTGTTACTACTACATCTTTTTGCCTTTCACTCATTGTTAACGTCAATGATATAAAACTGGTGGCCCCACCCATCTAGGACCTCTAAGACAGGTCCAGCATCCTCTCTGGACCACCCTCAGTCTCTGGCTTACTCTTCCTGCACAGCCCACTGGGTCTTGGAGGAGGGAACCCAGCTCAGGGACCTGGATGAACAGAAAGGGAGCAAGGCCCTTCCTGTCCCTTGGACAGTTACTCTCTGCCCTGTCTCTCTCCTAAGTGCCTCTCCATGATGTTGGTATCAGCTTATCATGTAGGTCTTTTCCACGGTCTTGTGAGGTGGGCAAGGTGGTGTAGCTCGAGGGTAGCTGCCTGCTGAGAGGCTGGTTTGCTTAGGTCAGTTGCCTCTGAGGAGACTAGTGCTACCTCTTCAACTCCTCCTGCAGGTGGACATCGAGCAGCTGGATCCCCGTGGCCGGACTCCCTTGCACCTGGCTACCACACTGGGGCACCTGGAGTGTGCCCGTGTGCTCCTGGCACATGGTGCTGATGTGGGCAGGGAGAATCGCAGTGGCTGGACAGGTGGGCACCGACAGTCAGGGCTTCCCCAGCATCAGGGGTTGGCTAAAAGGTTGGCTAAAGGGTCCTGCCCTGTGATGTCGCCTTCCCTCTCTCAGTGCTTCAGGAGGCTGTGAGTACCCGGGACCTGGAGCTGGTGCAGTTGGTGCTGAGGTACCGGGACTACCAGCGGGTGGTGAAGCGGCTGGCAGGCATCCCTGTGCTCCTGGAGAAGCTGCGCAAGGTGAGGCTCAGCTACCCAGCCTCACCGCTGGAACCTTTGAACCCCATTTCTAGTGTGAGCTTAGCCACTCTCCTTTCCATCCTCTAGGCCCAGGACTTCTATGTGGAGATGAAATGGGAATTCACTAGCTGGGGTAAGAGGGGCTGAATGGGGGCCTCTCTGACCTTGGGGTTTTTGCACTTGTCTCTGCCTGGGGCATCATCCCTTAGCTCTTCAGGGGATCCTATTCCTCTTTTAGCTCTCAGCTCAATGCCATCTCCTCAGCGGAGCCTCTTCCGACTGCCCCAGACACTGTCTTGCTTCCATTATTATTTCTTTCACTCTGTAACGATTTGCTTATTTGTTTATTACTTATCACCCTTTGCTAGAAGGTAAGTTCTAAGAGGACAGAAATCCCTGTCTTGTTCAACACTATATTTCCACTAACTTGAATAGTAGGTGTTCATTAAATACTTGTTGAAAGACTGAATGAGAGGCTGAGTGAATGGATTAACACAATGGAGGATACTAGAGACTTAGCGATGAGTCTCAGCAAGGCATGCCTGTTCCCAGCCTCACATCTGAGGGAGTGTGGTCTGCATTTGTCAGGGGAGTGTGGTTGGAGGAACAATTGCTCTTATATCCATTCCCTCACCCTTTCCTGGTCATTTCATTGACCCCAACTCTTTTCCCCTGAGCTGCCCAGGCTGGGTGGGCTGGGCAAATTGAAGCCACCTCTGATCTCCACTTCTGCCCAGTGCCCCTGGTGTCCAAGATCTGCCCTAGTGACACCTACAAAGTGTGGAAGAGCGGGCAGAACTTGAGGGTAGACACTACGCTCCTGGGCTTTGACCACATGACATGGCAGCGAGGGAACCGCAGCTTCATCTTCAGGGGCCAAGGTCAGGCAGGCAGGAGGTGGGGCAGGTGGGGAGGATGGGACAGCACCGTGTCACCCTGACCCCCCCTTGTGCCGTTCTGTGGCTGGCAGACACGAGCGCTGTGGTCATGGAGATTGACCACGATCGCCGGGTGGTGTATACAGAGACTCTGGCACTGGCTGGGCAGGACCGGGAGCTGCTGTTGGCTGCTGCCCAGCCTACGGAGGAGCAGGTGCTGAGCCGGCTCACTGCACCTGTTGTCACCACACAGCTTGACACCAAGAACATCTCCTTTGAGAGGTGAGCAGGCACGGCCTGGGCCAGCCTGGATTCAGCCTGGTGGGGTGCTTGCCTCACCTGGACTCCTCTACTTCCCCAGGAATAAGACTGGCATTCTGGGCTGGCGCAGTGAGAAGACAGAGATGGTGAACGGGTATGAAGCAAAGGTGAGGCCGCAGCTCCCGGTGCCAGAGCCAGCTGCGCTCCTGTCTACAGCAAACTGGGCAGGGGGTTCCTGAGTGCCCTTCCCAAGCCTTGGAGGTGCAGAGGCCACGTGGCATGGAGGAAGGGGCATCAGGCTGACCATCATCTGGATGAGAACTATTATGTTCATGTTCAGAGCACTGTTCTGGCTTTTATACCAGTGTATGGGTATTTTACACACATGTGCATGAATGAGCACATACATGCCTTCATTCACCCTTTACCATAACCCTTTCAGGCAGGTGCTATTATGAATCCCATTTCCAGATACTGAGGCATTTCCAAGGTAGCCCATTTAATCTTTACAACTCCAGGAAGTAGGAATTATTGGCCCATTTTTATGAGAAGGAAATAGAGGCTTGGTGTGGTTCAATGACCTTATAAAGTCATTGTAAGTAACTATAACTTACACAGCTATTAGTGGCAGAGTTGGGGGTCAGACCCCCTAAGGCCAGGTCTTTATCTTTAAGACTGTCTGTCACTCTAGAACCCACATTTTCCCCAGCACATGGTGCTGCTGGTGAAGGGAGGAACTGGCAAATGTTGCAAGCTCTTGTACATGCTGTTTCCTAGACGCCCTCCCTGGTTCTGTCGCTGGGATAAGGCCCTTTGCTACCCCTCACCAAAGCATGTGTCACACTGACTTACAGCTGTCCATTTTCATGTCTCTCCAACTAGAAAGTGGCCCTTATGAGGGCAGGAATTATATCTGGATTATTCACCACTGTAACCCTGATGCCCACTTCAATGGCTACACATAACTCCCCCTTAAAAGAATGTTTGTTGAATGAATAAATGAATGAATGAACAATTTGATATATGTACTTGCCCCAAAGCTTTGGTACTAGAGCAAAGAGGCCCTCCCAGGCCCTTTATTTGCAGGGAATGTTTAGAATTCTTTCAGGTGGGGCTACTAGAGCTATTTCTGAGTACTTCCCTCTCTGTCTCCAGGTATATGGGGCGTCCAATGTGGAGCTCATCACCCGGACCAGGACAGAGCATCTTTCAGAACAGCACAAGGGCAAGGTCAAAGGTAATGAGGTCAAGGTGTGAGGGGGAGGTGCCGCGGGACTGGAGCAGCCAGCTTCCACTTCAGTTCCTCCCTCGGTATTCTCTTTGGCAGCCCAGTAAGAGCCAGGATGGTTTATTCAGGCAAATAGGTTTCAGTTCAAGCACCAAGCCCTAATGATTGGTAGCAGCTGCCTACCGCACTGCTAAGATTCTAAAAGGGCTCATTTGGGCTCAGTGGAAAGGCAGGCTACCACTGATTGCTAATATCTGCACTGTATTTAGGAGGGGAAAGAAATGACCATTTATTGATCATTTTACTCTAGTGGGACATAACCTGGTAGAAAGTCCGGAGACCTTCCCATGGCTTCTGTGGGCCCACTGACACACCTGATTCTCTAGGTATCATTTAACCTGTCTCAAGTAGAAACACATAATTCCTACCTTACAGGGGAAAACAGTGAAGTTAATAATATACAACTGCCTAGAGGGAAACACACATGTATACCCTAAAACTGCCCACAAGAGGAAGGTATTTTACTGTCCACTGTCACCAACCTAGACAGTGGCACTTTTGGATGTTTCTCCTGGGACCTAAGCCTACTTCTGTTCCAGCTGTGCTTACAGGGGTTCTGCCCCCTGCCCCATGGAGTCCTCAGTCACTTTTAGATGAAAGGTTTCTGGTTATGTGCTGTGGATGAGCAGCCTCATCCTAGGGTTTGAGTACTGTCACTTCTGATGAGGTGTCCTTATGTCCTCTGAGATACCACATTTCTTATAGGCTGTAAGACACCTCTTCAGTCCTTCCTGGGAATTGCTGAGCAGCATGGGGGCCCCCACAATGGGGTGAGTGTGTGCATCACTATGTGCGGGGGTGTGGATGTGGCTCAGGAGGAGGCTTGGAGGGTGTCTCACTTAGCATGACCTATTTGCACCTCTTTGCACAATGCTCAAAGCCATGCCGTAGTGGCGAGGGAGAAATGGAACCTCATGGTATTAACTGGCTGGCCTGGCACTAGGGACCGAGAAAGGCTTATGGCCCTTTCCCATGTGGTACAGACCCTGATCACTCAGACCCTGAGCCAAGCCAACCCCACTGCCATCACCGCAGAAGAATACTTCAACCCCAACTTTGAACTTGGCAACCGAGACATGGGCCGCCCCATGGAACTGACCACCAAGACACAGAAGTGAGGCCCCCTGCTCCAGCTCGGGAGGGGTGGGCAGGGTGGGGCTCCTGGAGGTGCTGGGAGGCCATGGCTTCCTGCAGCATCCCTCACCCCTAGGATCTGGGGGGGCAGGTTCAAGGCCAAGCTGTGGCTGTGTGAGGAGCATCCCCTGTCCCTGTGTGAGCAGGTGGCCCCCATCATCGACCTCATGGCGGTCAGCAATGCGCTCTTTGCCAAGCTCCGGGACTTCATCACCCTGCGTTTGCCTCCAGGCTTCCCAGTCAAGATTGGTGAGACCTCACTGCTGTTTCTCCTCAGCCCTTCTGGGCGTTGGGGTGGGGTTCAGATGAGGTCAGGGTTGCTGGCCTGTGGTCCCTGATGGTTTACTCATCCTTAGAAATCCCGATCTTCCACATCCTCAATGCGCGCATCACCTTTGGGAACCTCAATGGCTGTGACGAGCCGGTGCCATCGGTGCGAGGTAGCCCCAGCAGTGAGACTCCTTCCCCGGGCAGCGACTCCTCCAGCGTCAGCAGCTCCAGTTCTACGAGTGAGACTCTCCATTCCCTGTGCCTTCCTCCTGCTCCCCGTGAGCGGCTTGCTTTCCCTCCCCACCCGGGCGTGCTCGAGGCCCGGCCCACGCCTGACTGGCGGCTTCACGTCCTCAGCCTCGTGCCGCGGCTGCGAGATCTCCCCGGCCTTGTTCGAAGCCCCACGAGGCTACAGCGTACTGGGCGGCCAGCGGGAGGCGGCGACTCGCGACGAAGATGACGACCTGCTACAGTTCGCCATCCAGCAGAGCCTGCTTGAGGCAGGCAGTGAGTATGACCAGGTGCGTCCCTGCAGCCTCGCGGGCCACGTGAGTGCGGGGCCGCACCGCTGACAGGTTCCTCACTCCAGGTCACCATCTGGGAGGCACTAACCAACAGCAAACCGGGAACTCACCCCATGTCCTACGAGGGCCGCCGACAGGACAGGTCAGTGCCCGTTAGGCCGAAGAGCATTTGGAGACGCCCGTTCTCATCCACTCCCCAACACACACGCACAGAGCACCCCAGTGCCCCGCCACACTGGGAGATGACACT